ACCTTAATCGAGGACCTTGATAGTAGCATTTATTTATGAAATGAGGCTTTGTTCTGCAGCCTGATAGGGAGCACGGTGTAGCGCCAGATGTGTAAGAGATTTTACAATGACTATTCGTGTCTTCAGTGGATGCAATGTCGTTGCCTCCTTGTGGCGAATTTCTGTCCCGACGGATATTGATGGGGAGATTGAGCAGAGTCGCCGCGTGACGGTAACTGGCCGAACAGGCGAAGTGTGGATTGTTTCGTGTGTCGTCTGCTATCCACGTCATGTTTCTAGGTGTGCGTGTGTCATGCACGTTCAAGTGGTTCGTCCGGTCATTTCAGTGCGAGTGTAACTGTTTCTACGTAAGCCTGCAACGATGTACGAAAGCATTTGGTCTTGTTCGGCTGCTAATGCATTGTAGTAAGAACGGCGAATGCAACTTTCGAGAGTTCTATTTATTGTCGTCGTACCGTCTATTTACCAGATTAATTTCAGAGTGGGTGCAGCTGTATGTTACGAGCACATCACAAAATGCTCTTGGAATCCTCCCAAACATAAGAACTATTAATTGGTGTGTGAAATGCAGCGTTTTATAGCCACTCGGTTGTAAAAAAAAAAAAAACTCTAGGCCATAAACTTGCGCGCTGTTGGCAGGCGTACAACTACGGCACTGTAGTTTATCGATCATGGGAGGAGCCTTAGTTGTGTTTATGCGGCCATGGAACCACTACATAGAAATACTACTATTACATAAACTGTGACACATCGGTACTTTGACTCTACTTAAACAGGGTTACCATGCGCAACCGTGTGCTTAGATTTCACAACGCTTTAAAGAGCCCAGACGTTGAAAATTAATCTAGATGGCATGTCTTTATACAATTTCATATAATGTCACTGAACATTTCATCTTTTTTGCATTGTCTTCAGCGTTTCTGTGGCATTGTTGGTCAGTGTTAGATACAGTGGTCATTTTTTGTCAGAAAAAAAAAGATATGTTTGTCCCATTAACCAGGCCTTTGCTGTAACACTGTCATGTGCGTAATTCATCGATGAAGACTTTCTGCTGAACTTTTATATAAGAAATTTGTATTTTTACTGGTGCAAGAACATGTGCGTATACGTGGTAAACGTAGTGAACAGCACAAAGCGCCGTCAGCCACTAAGCTTTCCTGACCAGACTTATCGGCTGTCGCATATTTCATGGTGAACAGAATGAGAGAAAAAGAGATTGCATGCGCATATAAGGTGTGAACGGTGGTATTGAACTAATTGCACAGATATTCGGGCTTTCTACGATCCTTTTTTTTTCTCTTTTTCATAGTATGCAGATGAGAAAGATCTAACTAAGTAGTTAAGTCACGCTACAGCAGTTCGTAGCAGGCGGAACATAAGCTAACCACATATAAACACAGCAAAGGCATGATTAAGTGCGATAGCATGAAGAGAGTCACCCAGGTCGAGCATATGAAAGGCAAATTGCGCTTTACTCGCAGGTCATGTTAACGTTGCATGGGCGTAGTGCACCGGGTCAGTAGAGAGGAACGTAGTTTTTAACAGTTAACGTAGTAATTGCATCTTATCCACTGACAATCGGCTCAGACTGCACTCAACCAAGCGCCGCTGCGTGTATTTGTATACGCGCCGCCGACCGCCTATCCACACTTGCGTGGAGACAGTGCTGCCACCTGTAGCCCGATCTCGCCGCGAATACACCAGTGATCATGTATAAACGCTTGTGGTTGCACTAGTAGTTATTATACACTTGAGCACACTATTCAGAAAATACTGCGCAGAGATGGCACGTGCCTTAAGCACTCTTACTCGATATGCAGTCAACGAAAGCGTTATGGTGCACGCTTCCCGAATACTGGGGAACCTTTGCATGCTCTATGCGTACACTACAACACTGCGCTTCATGAACGTGGGGTGGCTTGAGCCTTGAGTGCGTAAAGGCGTTTTACTCCCCGCTGGCATCTCTTTCACTGAGAAGGTGAGAGATATAAAAGAGGGGTAGGTAAATCCTGTAGAGTATGTTTCGATAGCACATTGGTTGAAGCACCCGGTAGCTATCTCTAAGGTCCGAGAGGTCTTGCGTTCGACCGCTTGGCCATCTGTGCCCTCGTTTAGCTTTATCTTCTATATTTACCGCGATGGCATTTAAGAGCTCGTTTCGCAACAGTTCCGGTGTTGGCGTTGGCGTTGGTTGCGAGTAAAAAATTGACGCTGTCCGTAAGCGAGAAATTGAAAAAAAAGATGCCAACATTTTCGATTTCATGGATAATCAAAGCGAGGACTCCTGCGTGGCAAGATGTTCTATTTTCCTTGATATTACTTTAACGGCATCGAAAATACATTACTTTAGGAATGTCATGCAAGGGGAATCTTTTTCAAGGGACCCTGCAGTGGATCACCGTGGGAGGCCGCACGATCACACTGTGAAAGCCACGTATTTGAAAAAAAGTGCTCAAGGTCACAAGGTGCGCGTGACGTATTTTCTTTGCCCATGCCATTCCCACCCCCTGCTCCCCCTGCTTAGTTTTCTGTACTTTCGTCAGGACGAAGAGCGAATGCGATTGTAGCGTGTGACAAATCTTTGTAACTGCACACGTACTGGACATATTCTTAACATGTTCGCACCGTTGAATTTGTCCGGCAATAAGTTCTAATGATGAATTTATTCCGTCATTGCTTGGAAAAGGGTTTCAGGGCCTTTTTGTGTGAAAATGTGTTCAGAGCCTGTAATATTGCCTAATATAAGCGTAAAGTGGCACCAGGCGCCGACACATGTGAATTGCTCAGGGTGGGAATTTTAAAAGAGCACTGATTTCAAAGCGTAAACAAAAAATAAGGATGATCATCTGTAAAAGCATCAACGAGAGAATCAGCTAAGCACTTTCATGTCACGTAGTGGGCCGTTCGCAGATTCGAAAAAAAATTATGCCGTAGTGGGCATTTTTCAAATCTACTGACAGTTTAAAAGGCCAAAACTCTCCGAGAATATACATATACTTGCTATCGTAAAAACACATGAAGCTTCTTTGTATGCAGACATCTTATACCTACCAATGTTTCCACTGTGGCCGTGCCCCGATAATCTGCATGCGCGACCGCAGCTCGGCGGTGGCCAACTACCTTGGCTGGCACATCGTGCAAGTGATGGGCCAGTACGCGACCAAGCGGTTCCGGCGGGCGAGGTTCTGCTTCGACCGGTACCGGTACCTGTTGCAGGACGTGGGCGAGATTCCGCGAGAGTGCGTGCGCCTCACGTCACGGCTGCTGCACTTCGCCGTGGGACGACTCTACTTCGTCCGGCACATCTCGCGTCCAGCCGAGCGGTACAGGAAAGTACGTGACCGCACTCAGGCCTAACCGTATATATATGCATGTGATTTTCGAGTGACATCGACGAGCGACAGGGACAACCTTGCCCCGTCACGTCATGTAAGCTGCAGCCATACGTCAACGATAAAGTGGTCATAGTTGCTAGATTCTAAACTATCGTGTGCACGCCCATAAATAGCAAAAGAACTTTAAAAATAGGTCAATAACAACATGTCAATTTCATTACTGTCCTGCGTGGTATAAGAAAGTCATAAAATAATTTCACGACATTTTTTTTCGTGATAATTGCTTGAACCTTGACAAGGTGCCCAGAAGCATACTATAGGATGGATACGACGCACTTCGCATCACAATTTCACATTGCAGCAAGCTACCATAATTGTCATAAGCTACCATCGAAACATCACAACAAACAATCGACAAAAAATTTACGACAAAATACGGCCGCTCTCTCTCTCTCCGCATCACATGAGAATGTAAAAATGCTAGTCGATACCATGCAATCCTTCAAGTATGCGCGGATAACATGCATCGAGGGCAAATCGCCACCGGAGCAACGACCCAAGGAGGTTAAAAAAAATGCTGGAGTAGAAGTTATTGCCCAGGAGTGAAACCGCACCCACCGTAAGATGGCGACTGTGGCCGCCACCTTACCAGAGCATGATAAGCTGTTAGCATTCGGCGATTGATAAGAAGCGTTATCTTCGCACGCCCAACAGGTTTATCGTGACAACCTTTTAGGGTGAGATAGTGCTAGTTTTCCTAGGTAAGCCTCGAATTCAAGGCAAACTTTATTGGAAATTAAGCCACGGATAATTGTCTTTATATGTTATTTCATCGGAAACAACTATCTTTGAATTCGTTGTTAACGTAGCCTTTGGACTAACAGATCAAAACCAATTAATGCCTCAGTGGGCATAACACGAAAACGGCATAAAAGGGCAAAAGCTGCCTTCACTATTACTGGTAAAACATTGCGAGAACTTCCCCTGCAGCTAATTTTTTAAAAACACCCTTGGAATCATAAGGGGAGCCTTGTTGCCGGAAATCGTCACACTGGCTTCCGGGTGACTAGCGATTTTTTTTTCACTTTTCTAGAAATGCGCTAAGCGACGGCTACGAATGGGCTTCTGCGATTGGAAATCTTGTCTGTCGCTCGTCACTGCCGCTTGTCGCTGTGGCGGCTAGAAAAGCATGTGCATGGGGTTGGGCCTTTACGGTCACTCTATCACAGTGTATCTGTGACACACGTAGATGTTTTTGCTCTGCTACCGCGCTGATCAGCTCGTATATATATTTTTTTATAATTCACAAAAATCAGCGTGTCCCTTTTTGCTCTGAATACGGGCTCGTCACCAAGATTTCTCGGAGCACGCACGCACGTGTCGGACAGTTAGTGTCATGACCTTGATCACTGTTTGTTCGCAGCTGTATGACATGGCGGAAGAGCTGCGGGATGCTTTTGCCATCCTCATCGGCCTCAGCACCTGGATGGACTCGGACACCTAGGAGAGGGCGAGGCAAAAGGTGCGTCCGGGAAGGATACTGGTATTGCTTCACAGTACCTGCACGTCTTTCGAAACTGGAGAAACTATATTCAGAGACCTTGCATATTTAGTCATAATAAGCTGATATGCCCATATTTTTCTACCCAGCTGCATCACCTGCAAATGATCGTTGGCTTTCCGCCCTGGATCAAGAGCGACCGGGACCTGGATGAGTTTTACAAGGGCGTGAGATGATGAATGCTGTAATCAGAATGTATGAGAGCGTGAATATGTTCTTGATTTTATGCAAACGCGCGCTGCTTGATCACTGTTTATTTATAATCACTCCAAGCTAAGATGACCACAGGAAGAGGAAATTTGTCAGCAGATTTCACGATAGGCTTTCGTCTTGTCTCCGTAACCATAGTAGCATTAAACTGCTTCTATGCCAACTAGCAACTATAGTAGTAAACATGTTGTGCGCAGGCTACTAGCAACTATATAGCAGTGAGCATGTTTTGTGCAGACTACTAACGAATGTAGTAGTAAGCATTTTTGTTCAGGCTACTACCAACTAACGTAGTAGGCATGTTTGGTGCCGGCTACTAGCAACTATAGTAGTACTAGAGTGAGGTCAAGCGACGAATGAATTATTTCACAAGTGGAGCATTGCTGAGAGGGTATTACCGAAAAACTTTCTCTTAAAGAGCTGTAAAAGTAGTCTGTAATAAAGTCATCCTCGGATATGCCTCTTCGTATTGAAACCCGGGCATAACAGTGTACTGTAACTTCATTTGCACTGGCACCATGTCTCGAGCGTGGTTGCAACGCATTTTTTGACAACCGCCTCCACTTCCTGCATCTCTTCCTCTTACTTGATACTTATCTACAATAAAGGCAGGTCCCGGATCTGCGCAAAGAGGATTTCTTCATCAGCCTCCTGCTCACGCTCAAGATTTACAACCGCATCATGTATGCCCACCTTTGCCGTTTCAAGAAGGCTGAGGACTTTGGGTGAGTGTGGAGTGAACCTGTGTAACGCTATTCCTCCGAGTCCCCGACCAAGCATTATTATTTTTACTCCTCACTCTTAGCCCATTTACCCGTTGAATAAAGGAATAGGAATTTATTATTGACGCGTTAACTTTCAGTTTTACGGATGTTCGTTTGAGCTCTGAGAGGTATTCCCACGTGAATGAACCCCGTCTGGGGATACCTATTGACATACAATTTCACTTCGAATGTTCACGATGGAGGCTAAGTAAGCACAACTAAAACGTACTTGAAAATGAATATTTTTGAAGTCTTCATACGACATTAAAAACGCGTAAGATGAATTGGTCGAAATTATACACATTGTAGTTGGCCGACAGCTTCAGTCACTGCAGTGAGTACATCGGAGTGAAATTCAAGACAGTCTTTTGCTTCCAGCTCATAATTTTCACAGAGAAAAATCATTCGACAAATTAGAATGGCTTAAGCATACTGGAAAGTTGACATTTAAATACAGTTGCCTAATTAGCAACTGTGGTGAACAGTCTTCACACGAGCCAGCGAAAAGAGCATCAACGACAGCGTTGACTTTGTTACCCTTAAGCCAGGGTTAATAAGGCACGTTTTACAACTAATGCGATGAAATGTACTTTTATTACGTATTGCGCAGAATAATGCTTCCCACGATTTCCTTGCTACTGGCTCCCGCCTTACCCATCCAGCATGATGCGCTACAGCCTACTGGGAAACTATATGCGTATGTGTTCTATTCAAACTAAATTTTATAACTGTTAAAAAAATCGCATGATATAGTTGTCGAGTCTATAGCTGTTACAAGCTGCCACTCTAGCGTCGTCAGCGCGAAGTCGGCGACGGGAATGACAGCAGGTCGGTTCGTTCCGTACGCAAGCAGAGACAGTGAAGAGATCAGAGACGTGAGAACACAAAACAACTTTACTCTAGTGATATTGCAGCACACGGGATCGAATACAACACTTCAATACAACTAACAAAATACATCGACACTTGATACAACTAAAGAAATATATAACAGAAACAATAAATCAGCTTACGAGAGAGAACTATTACAAACTAAACAAACTAACAAGAATAGAACGACGGAGGAGAAAGTTCGAAGATATAAACAGGTGAAGGCATACGTGTGATGACCGGCAGCGTTGTGTCCCCGACGATCGGATGCCAGAAGTCGAAGAGAGTTCTGGCACGACTGCGATGTCGGCGGTGTTGCAACGCTGGTGGCTCCGGGAGGCTAGTGCTTGCAGGTGACTTCGAGCAGGCTGAGCTAACTCGAGGCGAAGTCCCGATGTCTACGTTGCCGACGGTAATATCGCGTCACAACTAGACGAGCGGCTAAGTTTAGGTGGCCAGCCGATACAGAGCCACACTAAAAACTTCTAGAAGAGATGCTTGATGATCTGTTTCTACACCATCTTGGTCAGCGACTAGTCTGCCTAGTAGGGCAAAATCCTGAGCTTAAACCCCCCTCGTGTTTCCTCGCTCTCTTCCTTGGGGACAAGAGACCTCTACCTGGGTCCAATCATGCGCGTTTAATTGATGGGAAACTCCACCCCAAAATTATTTTGACCCCACCCCTTTTTAATTGGGAGAGGGCCCTCAACTAGCGAGAGTGACAACCTGTCGGGTTGTTGTCATACGGCTCGGCCACCAGAGCGTTTCCCACGCTTTTCCCCGTGGGAACGGTCAAACGTTTGGCTCTCAGCACGTGTGTCTCGTAGTCTAATCCTTGTTCGGGGTATACCGCGGCCTTCTACGACCTTGCAGACGCCGCCGCAGTTACAAAAGGATTAACCCTCGGCGGCGACGTTCTAAGAAGAGCACCCCATTTTGCACTTCTCGGCTCCCTTTCATGCGCCGCCGTTTCTCACGGTCAGTCGGGGAGTACGGCGCCCGTTAATTGCCGTGACGCGGTGTCGCCAAAAATGGCCGTCCGTGACATTTCCCCCCTCTTTCAGAATGTTATTCATAACATTTGTTCACAGGGAGGGGAATTTTTTCGACAACAAGGAACAAAACACCACCAACAAGGGAGACATGAGGGCTGTCCCTCTCATACACAACATAACTAGGTAGAGCGCATCAAAGTAACAACAAAAGGAAAAACAAACAATTGTTAGAGTACCAGCTTCATTTACACGCAACAATATCAATGCGCCATACAAACGAGAAGAGGAAATAGCCGTGTACGGCAGCCATCAATACAGAATACACTGCACGAATGTATACTACGAAACAAAACGGAACAGGTGCGCTCCCCTACTGTAGTGCAATCCTTCAATGTGCATTACAGCAAGTAAAAACAACCAATGCCCCAAGTAACAAGAAAATAACTCAAAATACACTTCTTATACAATGAAATACGCACATACAAACAGAAAACAACCGACGAAAGGAAAAAAAACAACATGCTCATAGACCTCAAGAACTATATCCGGCTCAAGTAATCGGCTCCCACGTTTTCGCTACCCTTAATATGCGTAATGGTGAACTGGTACTCTTGGAGTAGTAAACTCAATCGAAGTACTCGAGCGTTCAGCTGTTTCGCCTGTTGGATATAACTCAGAGGCTGGTGGTCTGTCTTTGTTTACGGCCGCCAAATATTTGTCTACTACTGAAACACTAAGCTATCCAGCTTTCCTGAAACTTTGGCCTACGCTGTGGCCAAAATATTCTTCGTTCGCTCAACCTGAAAAAAAGTTTACTGTTTTGCTTATATGATCACTTGATCAATCGTCTTCAAAGCAAACCAACAACACTTGCACTGGTTTATGGTAAAACCGTGCCCCACCTTCTCAATTAGATTCGCTTGAATCGCACACGATGGGGTCGCGTTCCCGGCGGCTTTCGAGCACGCCAGAGGTTACAAAAAGCACGAACGCCAGGCTGTGTCCTGCTGTCACGCCTCATTCTGCATTTCGGCCGGCTCCCCTCAGGAATGTGCAAGGGACGCCAGAAACAGGAGGGAAGCCTGGGTAATAATGTCTTTGTGGTCGCCCCCACGCAGTACTTAGCCGTTGTGCCTTTTCGACCTTGAACATTCGGGCCAGGCCGCTTTCCCGAAGTCGTCGAAATGAACCGCGCGTTTCGTTCGGGTGACGCACCTCCTTTTCCTCCTCTACACCTGGCTCGCCGCTTGTGCCTGCATGAACGCCACGCTTGACGTTTCTTGAAACGGTTGAATGGCCTAGCCTTTCGTCTTTCTCGAGATGGAGTGGGATCTGCCCTAGGCTTACACAGTGCGGTACGCTTCCTCTTCTTTCTTTTTCGGCGATGTTTGCATACCTCCTTTCCCTCGATGTCATCTTTATGTCGCTTCCGGACCTCAAAAGTTGGGAAGCTCGTTGGAGCTGGTGCTAGATCTTCCCTCCCGATAACGCTTTTTGAACTCTGCGTCACGACGGACTGTCGGGCCAAATTGGCTTTGTCAACACTGATGAAGCCATCAACTGGGCCCTCTCCGACGGCATCGCTGCATTCCTGAAGCGTCGCGTCCTCGCTCTGATTCGCCACTGTGCTAATCATGCCTACATTTGACGATGTCGAAACGTACTCTTGAGGCACAAAGGAGGTTTCCAGCATCTTACTGGGCCCATTAGGGCTGCTGGCATTCTCCTCATCCACGCAAGGAGCGTCTTTTGACATCGTCTCTACCTCTAGACCGGCCAAGTCCTCGTTCTCAGCATTCTCTACCTTGATGCATTCTAGAATACGCGGGCCCTTTTCTGGCGCAATCTCTGGTTCTAGCGCTTCCTGCCACGCTTTAATGTTCATCACTTTCCGACGCGCCTCCCTTTCAGACTGTTGTCTTTCTGTTTCGCGCTTTCTTTCAGACTCTTGTCTGAGCTGCTCTTCTTTTGTTCAGACAGACGTTCCGAATATCCGCAGCATCTCTGCCTTAACTACCTCGTTGTTCGCGTTCTGCTGACTGAGTCGAGCAACAGCTTCATTTGCCTCGCAAGGCAGAACCGTGAGTAGCCCTTGACACCATGTGTCTCGCTCAAATGACAGTTTCTCGCCGGCATCGCCGTGCACACTGCTGGATCGGCTAACCCTGCCACCCTCACTGAGGCGAATCTTTAATTGCAGTAACTGCACTTCCCGTTCTCCGGCTTCCCTTGCCGCTTCTCGTTCTTTCGCCCTTTCTTTGCGCTCTCTTTCCTTTTCTTTGCGCTCTCTTTCCTTTTCTTCGCGTTCTCTCTCTCTTTCTTTTTCCTCCCGGGCCAGTGCCCGCTCTTCTCTGGCTAACGCCTGTTCCTGCTGCTCCTTAACACATTGTCTCAGTTCGGCGCCCTCGAGGCCTAACTGTTTACCGTACGCGATCCACTTATCAAAATCCATACACTCCATACTGCAACTGTCACTATGATGCCACTATAAAAACAGCGCAATCATTGCAGGATGCAACCGCTTCAACTGTGCGGCTCTATCACCACGCTGTCCGCACGGTTGTCGTTCACCCCTCACCGTCTTACTCCTGTACGGAACGTCCTGTCTCGCGGACGCCAGTTTTGTTACAAGCTGCCACTCTAGCGTCGCCAGCGCGAAGTCGGCGACGGGAATGACAGTAGGTCGGTTCGTTCCGTACGCAAGCAGAGACAGTGAAGAGATCAGAGACGTGAGAAAACAAAAGAACTTTACTCTAGTGATATTGCAGCACACGGGATCGAATACAACACTTCAATACAACTAACAATATACATCGACACTTGATACAACTAAAGAAATATATATCAGAAACAATAAATCAGTTTACGAGAGAGAACTATTACAAACTACACAAACTAACAAGAATAGAACGACGGAGGAGAAAGTTAGAAGATATAAACAGGTGAAGGCATACGTGTGATGACCGGCAGCGTTGTGTCCCCGACGATCGGATGCAAGAAGTCGAAGAGAGTTCTGGCACGACTGCGATGTCGGCGGTGTTGCAACGCTGGTGGCTCCGGGAGGCTAGTGCTTGCAGGTGACTTCGAGCAAGTTGA